TGCTTCCTCTGAAGTCAAGCATTAACATGTCCCTTTCCTCTTAAAAATGCAGGCAGACATAAAGATCAACATGAATAAAACACACTAGTCTATTCCAAACCCTGAGTTTACCAGTTACCTTAAACACATAAAAATAATTCGCTATTTCAAATAAGACACTAAAACGACAATCCACAAATTGAATCATGTCAATTTGAAAGAAATGTTTAGGATAGATTGACAGCATGGCTGTAATTGCAGGCCAGTTGCTGAATATCCAAAAGGCAGTCATGTGACTATGGGGGTGCACAACCATCAGAATTTTAGAACCAGGTTGTAAGTATTTTGGGGAAGGGACCAACATAATTTAAATGGTCACTAAGCAACCTGTCAAAAGTCAAAGACTATCTGTAGTAATGGAGGAAACAAACAGCATTCACATAAAAGAGTAGACGTTAACCTGTCAGCAAAATTATTTGAATAAACAAAATATTTGATTTACAAGAACTTTCAAATGAAAAGTCACAATTAACCCTTTTCTATGGAATAATGCAACAATCTTTCAAGTTTGTATTTTGAACAAAGGGACCATTTGTATTAATGCCACGGATAATATAAGGTCAGTTCTAAATATTTAAACCAACCTGTATACTGATAACACTCCCTACAGCACTCAGCACACTTCCAATAGGGTTCTTTGCCTTGTAAGCCTATCATGACATATTTATTTATCCAATTTTATACTGTCCTATCTCATCTAAGTATCACTGGATGGTTTACAAAAACTGTGAAAAATTTGTATTCAAACAGCTTAAAGGTTAAAAGTTAAGAATGACAAGGGTTAAAAGCAGTTTAAAATGTCAATAGAATCAATCATTTCGTCATACAATTTCCTATGGCCATTTTAGTTTCTTTAATGAACTTTAATTTTTTTTAAGGCCAAATGCTTATAAGTTAGAAAGATTATCATAACTTGAGGACCAGGATTCCATTAAAAACAAATTAAAGGTATTTCAGAAGTTAATTAAAAGTGCACAAAACTGAACACTTCCACTTTTCAGGTATTCATTGACATATCTAAATGTTTTGATTAAAAGATATATTTTAATTAAACTTAATACATAATTGTTTTATTCTGAATTTCATGTCAATTCTAAAAGAACATAAAAGAATCACTTAGCCTTTATTCTTGAACTAAAGACCAACTACTGTCAAGTTCATTCTGTCTTCTTTCTCATATTACACTAAAGAGCTAGAAGTAGAAATATGTGGTTCAACTATGTAATTTTGCCAGAATTCTGTGGCGTTAATAGCAGTTTGCCCTACCACATCCATAAACTTTTTATTCTTAAATCTTTTAAAGCTTAAATGTCCTTAATTCCATGCCTTGTCTGTCTCCAATAGATCTCTGTGATACACCTCCATATCGGACATCTGCTTTTCCCAAACTACTATTTATGTACCCAAAACTCTTGTCTTAATTGACTAGACACAGAGCAAGTTCTTATGTCATTGTAAGTCACAATGTGGCTAATCTGGAAAGAAAGATGTTATTACACATTTTCAGATCATGCAAGTATATATGCATATGCAAGGAGGCATTATTCCTTCCAGATCAGTCCAGTTCAGACATTAACCCAGGGATCTCCAAATACCTTGGCTGGTGGACAACTGTGGGATGTTGACCTAATAGCTATTATACTTACATACAAATACATGCAAGAGTCATATTCGGTAATAGAACATTAGAGAACTCAATAATGGTCTGTTTATTCTTGAACCAAGCTGAACCTGCTATAGATGGTGTTCTTCTGGTATTTAAGCAGTTTTAGATGTTTCAAACATGATGTACCAAATAAAGCACAACTATTCTGGGGGCATATTTCGATTTCATTGAGGGCCGCATCAGTTGTATTTCCCTCGGGCGGAGGGGTCATGGCTGGGGGGCATAGCCAGCTCATCATTCATTGAGGCTGTTTTCAATCACAATGGTCTCCTACTGCCCTGTCAGTGAAAATGGAGCTTGGGGAGGCCATATGCGGCCTGCCTGGGCTCCATTTTTGGCTGTGATAGCCTCCCCAGGCTCCATTTTTGGCAGAGAGCTGAATGCATGGTGGCTGAAAATGGAACCTGGGAGGACCATGAGCAGCTCTCCTGAGGTCATTTTCGCTGGCAGACACACCGCAGGCTGGTCCTTCACTGTTTCAAGGGCAGCCTAGCAGGCCAGATCTAAGCACCCCATGGGCTGGATCTGGCCCACCCGCCTTGAGTTTGACACCCCTGCCTTAGAATATATATATATTTCCAGTTCAGAAGATTTACTTCCAGAAAATCAATGAACTATCCTTTGAATCATATGATCTAGAGCAGGGGTCCCCAAACCTGGTCCATGGATGGGCACCAGGCCATGGCATGCCACAAACTGAGTCGCGGAAAAAGCCCGATCTGTGGGATGCAGGCAGAATGCCAAACCACGTCCCTCCGATCCACTGAAAAACCTCTCTTAACAGAAACAGTCCCTAGTGCCCAAAAGGTTAGGGGCCGCTAATCTAGAGTGAGTTCAGATGGTCCGCAAGCATGAATTAGGTTCTCCAGAATCTTTAATTCCCATATTTGTGTTTTATACAAACCTACCAGAAACTAAACAAAGTTCCAGGCTTCTGCAACTTACCTTTTAAAAATCTAAAATTAATTAGATATTTAACTTAACAATTGCCAAAGTAAAGGTCAAGAGACACATTGCTATCTACAAGCAGCAGTTTGTAACTCCAAATTGTCCCCCACTGCCTCTGCTTCCGCGCTCAGACTTACAAGTATCTGCGCTGCACCAAGGTGCCAAGCCTATCTCCCAGGCTTATTTTGGGGTAGGATTTATATTAGGCCCATCCCCAAAAAAATCAGGCTAGGGTTTGTTTTTGGGGTGGGTATTATTTTCAGGAAAACATGGTACATCTACTGGAAACTATACAGGTAGTGCTTGACTTGCAACCACAATTGAGTTCAAAATTTCTGTTGCTAAATGAGACATTTGTTAAATGAGTTTTATCTCATTTTACAATCTTTCTTGCCACAGTTCTTAAATGAATCAGAGCAGTTGTTGAATTAGTCCATTTGATAAATGAATCTGGCTTCCCCATTGATTTTGCTTGTCAGAAGGTAGCAAAAGATGGTCACATGACCCTGGGACACTGCACTTGTCATAAATATGAATCAGTTGCCAAGCATCTGAATGTAAATCATATGAACATCGGGCTGCTGCAATTATCATAAGTGTAAAAAATGATCCTCACTTTTTTCAATGCCATTGTAACTTTGAATGGTCACTAAATGAACTACCTACATTGAATCTTCAAGATTTATTGTTGATAGATCTGTTTTTATGAATCCATCCAATAACTTTTGAAAGATATTCATTAAAATTCTACATATGGGCTTGTACTACATCCAAAAATTAGTTTTTTTTCTCAACAATGTCTTTGTTATTTAGGCATAAATTACTGGAATCTTAATTTAATACTTTATTATTTATATGATTATTGTTGATACACATATACTTAGATTCTAATATTAATTCATTGCCAACAATGCAATTCATCAGACTAGAAACTGGGAGATTGTAAGTTCCAGTCCACTTTTAGTAGAAGGGTAGTTGGATGACTTTCAGCCAGTCGAACTCTCTCAGCCCTAAGTTACAGGCAACAGCAAGCCACTTCCAAAAATCTTGCCAAGAAAATTGCAGGGAGTAGACCAAGTACCCCTCAGGAGCAAACACTGACTCCAATGGGTACATGCATGCACACACATGCAAATACTAATGAAATATTGAAAATTTTAATGAAATACAATAGCAAAATTTTAATGAAATACAATAGTTATAAAAGCTCTGTATTTTGTCATTCTCTTATTATAACTGTTTAATAAAAAGAAAGCCACCTATGTTGTCTTATGATAATGACTTCTACAGGTTAATTATCTGCTATGCTTTTTTTTGTTTTAAATCTGCTTCATGTCAGCATCACTGGATAATTTCTGAGGGAATCATCTCCAGGTCCACTTTTTGCATATCATTCACCATTGTTTCTACTTCAATAATGACCCGTCCCCAGGCCTTTTTCAGCCCGAGTCACAAATGTTTTTTTTAAAAATTGTAAGCCACATACTTCACTCCAATAATTTTAGTTGCCCTTCCGCACTTTTCCTACTCTGACAATTTATTGTAATTGTACACAATATTCCGAATACAGATATAGCGGAGGTTTGCATAAACGGCACAACTGTTTATTTTCAATTCCTTTCTTAAAGAACGAGGAGATGGACCATGCTTTTCTCATATCGAAAGAAAATAATATATGGCGGACAAGTTAACATAAAAGACTAAAGTTACTTCTGTTACTACACGTCTTTATAAACTTGTATTTACCATATCTGTATAACAGCCCAGTGACTCTGGGGGAAATATATAACCCGTTTTTAAAAAAAACGCTGAAACTACTATACACGAGGGTCATGACTACAAGGCCACGCGGTTCCATAGGAGCAGTCGAATTCAGTAGACCGCCTCTTGCCACCCGGCGGGGAGAATGTTTGTCCGGGGCTCGTTCTGAGAAGCCTCACAAAGAAGTGGATCCGCTGCGATCTATTTTTGGCAAGCCTGAAGAGCCACATCAATCTCGTTTTTGAACCGTTTCAACGGCTGAGCTACAGAGAGAGCGAGACTGGAGCTATCTAGAAATAGCACCAAAAAAAAAAAAAAACACCACCCACCAGGTGTCTCAACTACGTACGAGACTCCTGGTTCACATGGATCCTTGGTAGGATTTATAAAGGGAGGAAGGGAATGGTGGGAGCTCTGGATATGTGCTAGCCCCGAAGCTGGAAAGAGCACGTGGGACTGCAGAGGAAGGCGCGGCCTGCAACGGATCAGACCGGGGTAAGGCGCTTGGCCAGGGACTCGGCCCGAAGATTCCCGCCCAGCTGGCACCCCAATGGAGCTACCTCAATGGAGGCCGACAGTCGCTTACTTGCAGGCTTGGTTTGGCTGGGCCGAAGGGTTTCCTGAAGAAAGAGGTGCGAGCTGTGAAGAAAAACTCCTCGGACTCCGATTCTTCCCAGCTGCTGTAGCCACTACTCATGCTGCTAGTCCAAGTCATGAGCGCCCCCCGTCGCCGTTTCTGCAGGGGCCCGGAGGCGTCCCCGCCGCCGCATGGGGATCCGCCGGTCCAGGGCTCGGCGGCAGCGGAGGCGGCGGCGCCCTGCGGCCCCCTTCGCTCTCCAGTCTACGCGCGAGCGGACCCGCCCTCTCGGAGGCGGCACCGTTTACCCCTCCCCAAGCGGCTGAGGGGAGGAGGTCTCAGTGCTGCTCTCGGCCACCTGTATGCGCGCCTGGCGCGGCCTCTCGCTCCTTTACTCTTTCCCTGTTGAACTGGGTCGACGGGTAGTCTGTTCTGCCCCAGCAGGTGACCTAAGCGGCATTTCGTTTCCATGCAACTATTTAATGCTCCTTGAAAAGCACTTTAGCTTAAGAATACTTAGCGGCGTTTGTTAATAGAAACATCACATGGGCGGATACATTTGAATGCAATGCAAAAACCCTTCAGGCGAGATGGCAGATATCCGGCATTATCGAGTTTTATTTTCCAACGTCAGATCACCCCAGCTTCTTGAGAATACGAGGGATGTTGTTATGTAATACAACTCAGCTTTTGACTTCAAAAAGAGAACTCTCCAATCCATAATGGGCAGGATTTCTGGCTGCTACAAAGCTTTATTTTATTTCTATGCGGAAGTCAAAATACTTTATCGGAAGACAGTTTGTAGTTGTTCATTCGCTAAATTATGTCCGACTCTTCGCGACCCCCATGGATCACTGCAAGCCAGAGCCTCTGTCCTCCACTATCTCCTGGGGCTTGCTCACTTGCGTCACTAACCCCTTTTAGTAAAGGAGCCGATTTAAAATATCACACCAACTTTAACAAACTGAATTTAGTCAAGTATTATGAAGAGTAAATATGTAAAAGGTTTTGTTGATATAATGAATGTTGGATGGGAGGAAGCAGCAAAATAATTCTGTCTAGAAAAGACTAATCACAACATCTGGTGTTGAGGTATTAAGAGGCTTGACAAATATGCAAAATATTGTAGTACTTTTCAAGGACTAACAAACTGACAGTTTTAATACCGTGTTTCTCATATAATAAGGCCGGGTCTTATTTTTTTTTTGAGCCCCCCAAAAATGGCTAGGCCGTCTTTTCGGGGGGTGACTTAATTCCCCCCCTTGCATCTTCAAGCGGGCGGCCGCAATGGCTTGGATGTTGACCTCGGCATTGGTGGGGCACGTCGTATCAGGATCAATGCAGGCAGCACCATATCCAGGTGTGCAACAAAAGTACTTCCTAATGGCAAGCCCCTGTTCCCATTTCGCATGTTTTAATATAGGCCTTAATTTGGGGGGAGGGGCTTAATTTCATTTCATGCCTATAAAACATGCTGAGACTTCCTATTGGGGGAGGCCATGTTGTTGGAGAAACAGGTAGATAACTAATCAGTATATCATCCATAAACTTATCTACAGCAGTTTATACAGCTGGTTAGTATGACTCATACACTGAATCAGAAAAGTTGTCTTTGCTGAAATCTATAGGAACAATAGTATAATTCCCTCTGCAAAACTCATGTTCCCCAAAATGTGCAAAATAGTCCTATATTTCAGTTACTAAAGGATGAGCTGATTTTCCAACTAAAGGTAGATCAGATGTAATGTGGGTTCAAAGAGGGGATGAACAATTACTGTAGCAAAAAAACATGTTTAGGACTTGCATGAAAATATGAAAAAAGATTTAGTAATACCTGCTTATAGTTTTTTATTTAAAAAGGGGGAAATCTAGTTCTTCAATATAAAATATATTGTTGTATTAAAAGCCATAGTGATTAGAATGCAGTATTGCAGGCTAATTCTACCAACTCCCAGCAGTTCGATCCCAGCTCAAGGTTGGCTCAGCCTTCCAAACTGAAGTTATATGAGGACCCAGATTGTTGGGGGCAATATGCTGACTCTGTAAACCAGGGGTATCCAACCTTTCACCTTCCCTGGGCCACATTAGAAGATGAAAATTTGGTTTGGGCCGCACATAAAATAAAATAACAGTAACAATACCTGATCATCCAAAAAACCCATAGAAAACATAGTTAACATATTAAATTTATTTGGAAATGAAGTTAGTGAGATGTTTTTATTATTAATTATTTATTAAAAATTATTTTTTATCACAGTTTTTTTTATCACGGTTTTTTTATCATGGTTTATTTTCCGGCCAAATTTTGCGCGGGGGGGGGGGGGAGAAAGCTCGCCCGCCTCGCGCCTACCTCTCCTGCTGCAAATGGCCCGGCTGGATGAGGCAGGACTGGAAGGCAGAAGCAGCAGCAGCGGCGGGGGCAGAAGCAGCGGCGGGGGCAGTGGCGGCGGGGGCAGAAGCAGCAGTGGTGGGGCAGAAGCGGAGGTGGCGGGGACAGAAGCGGCAGCGATGGCAGGGGCAGAAGTGGCAGCGGGGGCAGAAGCGGCGGGGGCAGAAGCGGCGGCGATGGCGGTGGTGGCAACAGCAGGAGGTGGCGCTCTGACGGCGCCTGCTTTTTTTGTTGCTGCTTGGCCTGGCGCTCGCCTCGCCCTGCCTCGTGCCTGCTTCTCCTCCTCCTCACTGGCTCTGGCACAAAGGTTGGGGTGGGCACTGGGCCGCATTACAAGGTGACCTGGGCCGCATGCGGCCCTTGGGCCGCAGGTTGGACAAGCCTGCTGTAAACAGCTTAGAGAGGGCTGTAAAGCATTGTGAAGTTGTATATAAGTCTGCTACTGCTATTTCTATTATTGAATATTTAGACTGTATATTTTAAGATGTATGCTTAAATTTGGAATAAGTGGCTATTTACTTTTAAGGATTAATTCTATTGGGATTAAAACCTTGCTCCACTGCTTAAATAACACATACATAGAAAGATTTTGTATAGTCATGATTATAACCTAATAAAGTGTCTAAAAGCTCAAAATCTTACAGAAAGCATATGAAATTGGATGTGTTTCACTAAAATAGGCTTCTATGTGATTATAATTTACTTTATCTTGTAATAAAATGCTATTAGCTAACTCAAGATAAATATGAAACAATGCAATTGGCAAACCACTTTGATATCTGCAGGTTGATCTATATGTCCTCACGAGAAACATTATTTTTAGCCTTTAAATTTCAAGTGATGAGTTTACAACAGTAATTAGTGAGATGAACTTTGAAGCTTCCATGTTCAATTTAGCAGCTGTTCCCTAATTCAGATTTTTGTAATCTGCATCCTCAAGATGTTTTGGACTTCAGCCTTTATAAGCCTAGCCATTAAGACTATTAGCATTGAGCTTAGAGAAGCTTTAAGATCCCTGGTTTATCTCTTTTATGCTCTAAAACTATCTTCCCGTGTCATTGCTATTGGGAATAATGAGAAAATAACCTGCTTATCAATACTTAATGATTTATACAGCCCCTTTTTATTATTAAGCACATGTCTCTTAAATCTCTTAATTCCATTAGTATGAATCATCCAGGCATTTTCCTATCATTTCTTTTCCAGACTTTTCATTTCCAAGTCTACTTGGGCATTATCTGCACCACAGCGGAACACAGACAAAAGACAAGAAACATCAACGTTTTCTCTCTGGCCAACTAACAAAAAAATGTAAAAATCATTCATTGTACCCTGCAAGCCATAATCATTCCCTATGTTTACAATATCCCTGTGCATTTTGTCCCCCCAAAAATGAAGCCTAATTGTTCCCATGTTTTAAATAATACTGTAAACCATGGTTACAACATGACACTGTAGTTATGCAGCCAGACCATGGTTGTAAGTTCCAGCAGAGTCTCTGCATTGAGAATGGGGATAGGAAAGAGAATTGTGCCTGAAGGCTGGAAAGTGGAGTAAGATAGAAGTCTTATTTCTTCAGGATAAATAAATTTGGACTGTTCACAGGAATTGTGAAACTGACTAGGATTAAGAGCAAAGGGTTGGCCAGTTGTAAAAAGGGGTTTAATGTGATGGCCAAATGGTGTTTTCCAACTGTAAGATAGCGATCATAGATACTGTATACTGCCTTGGGGAAAACTCCAAGGTCAGATTGCAAAGGTCAGAAAAAGGCAAAGGTTCAAAAGAATGCCTTTTTGGCTATGTAGTTACAGTGGGCTCAAGCACTTAGATCATTAGAGATGAGTATTCCAAGGTCCTTTACAGAGCTTGGATCATCAACAAGGTCTTGACTATTCAGCTTGTATTTTATTTTCGGATTTTTTTTGCCAATATGTAAGACAGAGCATTTATTTGTTGAGATTTGAAGTTGCCATTTGTTTGACTATTCTGATACATAGTCAAGATCTTTTTGAAGGGTAGCAGTATTGTCTGTGGTATTGAACAGCTTTACATCATCAGCGAAAAGAAAGCAGTTGCTCTTAATATGATCACAGAGGTTGTTTATGTAGAGTATGAAGAGAGTTGGTCCTAGAACACTACCTTGGGGGACACCATTATTGACAGGTACAGAATTTGATAGGACACTCCCAATTTTGACCATTTGTTGTCTGTTTGACAGGAATGCTTCTATCCAGTTATGCAGTTATCCAGAGATACCATAAGATTTTAGTTTTAGGAGTAGTTTGCCGTGTACCACTGAATCAAAAAATGTGCTTATGGCAACAGTTTGCAGAGTTAATTGCTTGAATTCCGTGATCCTTTTTTACAGCAATCTGTTTCTCTCATCAGATTTCAGTAGGTGCATCTTCTTGGTTCTAATTATTGTGTGTGATTATAGCTCTTAGCCAGCAGCCAAGCACAAGGCATTTTTGCTATAATGTGAAGAAATATCCAGCCCTAGATAACACAACTGATAGCTAACACAGAATTTGGAAAGACACAGAAATTCTAAAATAAAATTTAGAGGCACAGGCCCATAAAGTCCAATGGGAGGCAAAAGATCAAGCAGAAGCAAAATAAGTAAGAATCCAAATGTGAAATTCAGTCCATGGATCAATACAACAGAAACCTAGTGTAGAAAGTTAACATCCATCCTTCTCCTAGAAGAATGGAGAAATGGAGAATCATGCTCTTGGACTTGGAGACAGAAAGCAGCCCCCAAGTCTTTCTTAATAGCCCCAGAAGATATTTTGGTGCCCATTAAGAAAGATTGGGCCAGACTATTCAGAAACCAAACTGAGGAGGCCACCTTTTAGAAATG